TTCAGATGCAATTCCCCCCATCCCCCCTCCACAGGACGAAGGGAACCACAGACTCAAGCTGATCGCTACAAACAGCAACTAGACCAGGGGCGGAAAATTTGGGTTTCCAGATGTTCTGAACAACATTCCCAGAATCCTTGACCACTGGCTGAGCCTGATGGGCTTCATCGGCCAAAATATATGAAAGCACCAAGGAGACTCACTCCACCCGTGAACTAAACTGAAAAAATGAGGCCATGTAAAACAGCTGACATTACCAAGTAGAAAATCCTACGCGGATTCTCACTGTTTGCCACTTGTGACCACCCCTAATGTTGCTGCTTTGCAGACAGATGATTGAAATCATCCACAGCCTGATAGCCTATTCCATTACTAATAAACCACTATCACTTTGTCCATTATCTATATCCCACCTTGCGGTCGCAACCCCATGTATAAACATGATGGTCATACAGCTTCACTTGTATGTCTGAGGAAGTGGATTTGATCCATGAAAGCCCTCGTTAAAATACAGCACTTAGTCTTCAAAGGGCCAGAACCTTTTAATCTGTTTTTTTTTGTTTTGTTTTACTTGATATATTTCCACAGTGAGAAAAACCACACACCAGCTATAACTTTCCCACCCACCCCTCTTCGTAAGCGGTGCGGTCCCAAGAGTCACACGGCTGAATGTCACCACCATTAAAATAATAATAATAATACAGTGGTGCCTCGCATAGCGAGGTTAATCCGTTCCGGGTTAATCCTCGCTATGTGAAAACATCGCTAAACGGAACATAAAAACCCATTGGAACGTTTAATGCGTTCCAATGGGCCCTAAACTTACAGTTCAGCAAAGTTTCCTCCATAGCGGCAGCCATTTTCGCGCCCTCGGTAAGCGAGAGGAGGGCGTGAAAACGCTGCGCGCGGCCATTTTGTGCGTCCGGCGGCCATTTTAGAACCGCCGAACAGCTGATCCGCGGGCATCGCAAAGCGAAGATCGGTAAGCGAAACGCGAGTTTTGCCCTTTGGAACGATCGGTATGCCTCCGCATTAGCGATCCCGAAAAACGAGGCACCACTGTAATTAAGTAGCCTCTGGATTTCTGGATAGTTAACAAGTGATGGAGAAATGTTGGTGCATAACTTTTTCTCACACACGTTTATTGTATGGCTATACAACCACAATTCAGAATTTAATCATGTGGTGCTTCCAGCTCTAAATGGTACAGACTTAGGAAGCGTTTACCCACGCGATTTTTTTCTCCCTGAATTTGTACCTACAAAAAACACAAAGAAATCCCTTTCAGTTCTGGCCTACACTCACTTCTTCCTCCTGGGGCTGTGCCACTGAGTTGCTATGGCAATGGGAATTGCTCACTTTAAGGAACCATTTCCTGGGGAGACGGTCCTACGCAGTTTTTATTGCAATTCTGCACTCTCTCCTTCTCGGTTGGCCTTGCCATTTCCCCCTTTCTTGGTTGTCCACGGCAAGTAAAGGAAATCAGGCAGATTCCTCGGTTTGAGAAAGGGAGGGATTATTTTTTTTCACAAGGCCAGGTAGCCCTTGGACAAAAATCCAAAAACGAAAGCGGGTCATTTCTTGATTGGACCACAAATATCTCAAACACCCGCAAACTTTTGAATCCAAGCCTGATGAAGAAGCCTTCGAGACTTGAAAGCATGCACTTTTTTTTGGAATTTTTTAAGTATCAAGGAAAGGTGTTACGCACTTTGAGAATTTTGGCGAGAAACAAAAGAAAAGCACAAGAACAAAGAAAATGTTGTGGCACCTTAGAGACTAATTACAGTGTTGCCCTGCTTCATGACGATAATCTGTTCCAGGAAAACCGCTGTTAAGCAGAAACATCGTAAAGCAAAATTAAAAACCCCATTGAAACCGTTCAATGCGTTCCATTTAGACTATCGCAATTGCGATTGCCAAAAGATTGTCGTAAAGCGGATTCGTCGTAATGCGGGGCAATCGTTAAAGCGGGGCACGACTGTACTATATTTTCAAGCAAGCTTTCATGGAACATGGCCCACTTCATCAGACATAAGAGTTAGAATACTGAGACTACATGGCAAAGCATCTGTCTCGCTAAGCAAAATTCCCCCATTTAGACTATCGCAATTGCGATAGCAAAAAGTTTGTCATAAAGCAGATTCGTCGTAATGCGGGGCAATCGTTAAGCGGGGCACGACTGTACTATATTTTCAAGCAAGCTTTCATGGAACATGGCCCACTTCATCAGACATAAGAGTTAGAATACTGAGACTACATGGCAAAGCATCTGTCTAAGTGGAAATTTGGGGCTCAGCAGCACCCCTCCCCCTCTTCACTGCCCCCCTCACCTGGCTTCTTGGCGGTCACTGTGGCGGGGCAATCGTTAAGCGGGGCACGACTGTACTATATTTTCAAGCAAGCTTTCATGGAACATGGCCCACTACATCAGACATAAGAGTTAGAATACTGAGACTACATGGCAAAGCATCTGTCCAAGGCTATAAGACAAAGGAATATTCCCTGATCATGGAAGAAATTCATCCCTATGGCTCTCAAAAGGACAGATCACAGTCCGAGTGGATCTAGGGTGGCCATATGAAAACAGAGATAAGGCTCCTACGCCTTTAACAGCTGGGTAGAAAAGAGAACTTCAGCAAACACCGTCTGAAGGAGAGCAATTAAAAGTGTAAGAGTCCTGTCTGTTTTTTCACATGGCTTGCCCCCCAATCGCATCCGGATTTCCTTAAACTCTGGGTGGAAATTTGGGGCTCAGCAGCACCCCTCTTCACTGCCCCCCCTCACCTGGCTTCTTGGCGGTCACTGTGGCAATCTGCGGGGTGACGAAGGTGCTGGGGTAGGTGGCAGCCTCCATCTCCGGCCGGCGCTTGTATTTCTGACGCCCTCCGCGCACCCGGTCTAGACGTACTCCTGAAAAAGGAATAGCGGAGAAAAGAAAAATAAGATTGAAAAACAGGATATAATAAACAAGGGTGGGGGGAAGACCTAGGTAATTCTAATGGTTGATTTCTGTCTCGAACTTTCATCCCGGAATGAATGTCTACAAAAAACTTCCACAGACCAGCCTTTCTTTTTCTAGAAGATTTGTGGCCATGGTATCCGTGATCCCTAATTTTGTGTTGCCAGATGTCCTTGGACTGAAACGCCGGGAAGGATCTTAAAATGTGTCGTGCGGATGCATCTAAACTAGGACAACACTTCAAAAGCCAGATTTTTAGCAGGACTTTTAAAACACTGATTTCTTAAGATGAGATGCCCTTTTTTCCTGCTTAATGCAAAAGTAGCATTTTTAATATTAATGCACAACTTTGAAGCAAAGGCCTGGGGAACAAAATGTGGGATTCCTTGGCTAGGAATGAGTAAATTTTTTTGGCTACAACTCCCATCATGCCTCATCAACGGTTATGATAGGGTTCAACGGAGTTAGCCTAGACCTGGCATGCTTCAAGCATCACACCGATCTGAGCACCGATCTACCCAAGATGACCTCAGTGGGCATTTGGAAATGAAGAAGGCAGAGATTTTTTTTTCTGGCATTTAGTCACGTCTCTGCCCTCAACTTCCTGCTACATCTCTTGTATATTTATCTTTATTATATCTAAAATATTTTCACCCCACCTTTCCTCTTAAAAAAGGACCCAAGGAGACTCACATCATGAAAAAGGCAATATTTCAAACTAAATATAGTAGGCATACAAATATTGTTAAACAATCCAATGCCATACTAAAAATAGTAAACAAAATCACACACAGACACCCGAAAAAAACACACACACTCAAAGCAACAAAGCACAATACTCCATTTGACAAACCCGTCTCAGATACCCGATCCATAAGGGAAAGCGAATCAGAAGTGAAAGGTCTTGGCCTGCTTGCGGAAGGAGAGCAAAGACGGGGCCAGCCTGGTTTCCAGTGGGAGGGAGTTCCATAGTCTGGGAGGAGCCACAGCGAAGGCCCTCTGCTGGGAGCAGCCACAGAGAAGGCCCTCTCCAGTGTCCCCACCAAACACACCTGTGAGGGGGGTGGGACCGAATAAAAGGCCTCCCCAATGATTTTAACACTCAAAAACGGTCCTAAAGGGAAAGGCAGTCCTTGAGAGACCTTGGACCCAAAGCCGTTTAGAGCGTTCTGGGTTCGAATCAGCCCTTTTGAGTTGTGCCTGGAAACGGATCAGCAGCCAGTGGAGCTGCTGCTAGAGGGAGATCCTTAATATCTGCCTATCTGTCACTGTTTCATTCTTTTCCCTGAACCTGTGAGGATCAGAACTGTTGTTCCCGCTTTCCGATGTAGCTTGTGTGTATCGAGTTCAAATCAGCATGTGTGTATCGAGTTCGAATCAGGACGTAGGCTTTTCTCCCTTGAATGCAACTTTCTTAATAAAAAGAAGTTGATTTCACTCCTGCCCGCTTTATTGTAAGACACACAGACCATGCGTCTAACACGGTGGTTCCTCTGCTACTGTGAGAACCCTAAACAAGGTCCCCCCCTGTTTCTCCTTGCAAACATTCACAACACAACACACAAAAATTATGAGCCGTAGAGCAGGCATACACTCTTCCAAGATACTTCAAGAGTTACCAGTGATTTTCTGGAAGGGGCTCACAATAAATTTCTGGGACGCTATCCAGAACATAGTTTGCAAGGCGGGCGGCGGGGGGGGGGGGCCCAGCAGGCAAACAGTGCACTAAATAAAGCTCAGGGTGACTCAGCTACTGACTCAATAGATTAAAGCTTACAGCCTGACTTCTAGGCAGGGCTATCGCTCAACTGTGAGAAGTTCCAAGTTCATTAGTCACATGGGTTTTAGCCAGTTTTATTAATTCTTCACCGGAACCCAGGAGGCAATGCCCACTAGAGTAGCCCCACTGAATCTGTGGGGATCGGGGCAGCCGACTCCTCCGGACGCTCCACGAATTCAAGAGGCCACTTCTAGACGTTGTCTAGAGGGGCGAGGTAAAAAATCGAATAAATAAATAAATTGATTCCTGGACTTCAGCCAATGTGTATACAAGGAAAAACAAAACACGATGCTTTCCTTTTGTTTTCAGATTAGACACCACGTAAGACCCCCTCCCCGGTCTCCTGCGTGGGAACCCGAGTAGGGTGAATGTTTTCTCCTCAAAAATGCTTTCCACCTGCCATTTTCAAAAGAGCTAATTTGGATGTATCCACATATTTTTCCATGTATAAGACTATACTTTTGCCTAAAATCTTTAGACTAAAAATTGAGGGTCATCTTATACATGGAAGTAAGTTGAGGGGAGAACAAAAACGAGTGGAGGGGAAAGCAGGGATCAAAGCGATCCTGCAGCGCCTTGATCCCTTTCCCCCTGCACTTGCTGAGCCCCACTTAGATTTCTTAAGTTTGGGTTAGAAAAGTGGGTGGGTGTGTCTTATACATGGGAGTGTCTTATACACGGAAAAATACGGTAACTTGAAATTTGCTGTTGTTCTTGTTACATGCTGCCAGGTCACCCCTTATTTAGGGAGACCCTATTAATGAGGGATCTCCAAAATATCCTCTCGACAAATTCCAACAAACTTAAGCCTGTGGCTTCTTTTAGCGAGTCGATCCATTGCGTATTTGGCCTTCCTCTTTCCCTGATGCCTTCCGCCTTTCCGAGCAAATCCTTCCCAGCAAATCTTTTGCCAAGCTCTGACTGAGGCCCAAACCTTGATATTCTTAAGTTTAAAAGAACTTCAGCTTGTTGGGCAACTTTTCTCTCCCCTCAGGCTCTGAAAAAGAGGCTGCCCGCAGAAACTGTGGCGAGCAAGGAAGGGAGAGGTGGGACCTTGGTGGCAGAGAGCCCATTTTGATACAGAAGACCGGCGGTTCAATTCCAGGCATCTCCGTCTCTTGCACATCTTAAGTTCTTGCAAAACATGTTTCACCCACAATATTTTTCGTTCTCCTCCTTCTGTGGCCGTTCTCCATTTTAAAATCGGTTATCATCTATCTTGAGGTCTATCCGGGACGCCCCATTAAGTCACATCACCCCAAGAACCCATACCTTCCTTAAGCATGCCCACACGCAGGCACTTGGTAAAGCGACACGCCTGGCAAGCCTTCCGACGCCGCTTCGTTATCTCACACTCGTTAGTGGCCGGACAACTGTACTCAATGCTGCCTGAGAGAGAAACATAGAGACCGAATTAGTTACAAAGCCTAAAGCATTGGTTCCCAACCTTGGGTTTCCAGATGTTCCTGGACTTCAACTCCCAGAAGCCTTTTCACCACGAGCTGTGCTGGACAGGATTTCTGGGAGTTGTAGTCCACGAACATAGGGAAACCCAAGCTTGGGGACCACTGGGCTAAAGAGTGATAGTCGTGTAGAAATGCAATATCCTGACGTTGTGTACACCGAAACTCAGGATGTTGATTTTCTGGACACACAAAAAAGGAAGTTCTTGAAATAGCCCATGGTCAAACCGGGGAGCAACAGAGGTGTGCAATTTCCTCCCCTCTTGGAATACATTTCCCAGAATTCCCCCAGCAGCCATGCTGCTCAGGGAATTATGGGAGATGTTCAGTCCAGTACACGTTTATTATGACGAAAGAGTGAACGTCAATGTGTGCAGGGGTACCTACTCAAGGGCTGAATTATCCTAGTTGGTGCTGGAGATTGATTGGAAATCAAGCTCCAGCAATTTTCTCTGTGGGGAAAACCCATGGAGAGGCCAGTATACCCTATCAGAAAATTTGAGATCAAGGTTCAAGTCCCGACTGAGCTAGGAAACCCGTATTTAGGCCCTAGTTAATTTCAGCCTGACTCTGCTTCACAAGGTTGTTCTGCCGACAAGTGGGGAAAAAAACAGGCACGTAAGTTAATGGTTGTTGTGGGTTTTTCGGGCTCTTTGGCCGTGTTCTGTAGGTTGTTCTTCCTAACGTTTCGCCAGTCTCGTGAAAGTCCCGTGAAAGCCTTCGTGATTACACATAAGTTAACTTGGGTGAGAAATACAGTGATGCCTCGCTTTACGAGCGCTCCGTTTGACGACGAAATCGTGTTACGTTGAAGATTTTGCAATCGCAAAACGATGTTCCCTATGGGGGAATTTCGCTTTGCGATGATCGGTTCCCTGTTTTGGGAACCGATCATAGCAAAGCAACAATTTTCAGCCAGCTGGTCAGCGGTTTCAAAATGGCCGCCGGGTGAAAAACATAGCCGCCCGTTGTTTTCTGGCACAGATTCCTCTCTGCACAGGCAGCGAAAATGGCCACACTATGGAGAATCTTCGCTGGACGGTGAGTTTTAAGCCCATAGGAACGCATTAATTGGGTTTTAATGCGTTTCTATGGGCTTTTTAAAATCGCATGACGACGTTTTCGTTCGACAGCGATTTTTGCGGAACGAATTAACGTTGTCATGCGAGGCACCACTGTACAACTGATGCCATGTTTTTTGAGGGTATCACCAGCAGAGGAGGGATGTCAAATAGATCCTTGCAAGAACCAGACAAAGCAGACAAGTGGGAATATGGTGAAAAGTAACTCCACAAGGGTTTTAAGCCTTTAACCCCATAGATCTCAATGAAGATGTTTTTCATAGTGGCGGGGGGGGGTCACCTGGAGGTCCATGCCCAACCCTGAAAGGATTAGACTGAAGATGGGTGGAAATGGAGGACAAGGCAGGAGAGCATTTTTTTTCCAGAGCAAGAGCAGTCTACAATCAGGCAGAACCCTCAGGGAATACACTTCTTGCTCCAGGTGGATGAGGCGATAATGAGGCTTTCAAGTTTCATGACTGTCTGTGACAGATTAGCATGGGGTGGTGGTCAGAGAATGAAGGAACTAATCAAGACAAAGCTAAGTAAGTCTTTTGTTTCCTACAAATGGAGAAAAGGGGGGGGGAGGAAGGAGGGAAAGCACCCCAAAACAAAACAAAAAACCTTCCTAAATTTTAGATTGTAGATTTATTTACAGTTCCCAGTTTTTCTTAAACTGGGAACTGTATTGCTAAGCCCCTAAAAAAACGTTTTTTGCAAATTGGCCAGCCTTTTTAAACGAAAAATTAAAGGTTGCACCGCAGTGGGCTGAAGACCATTCATTATAGCTCCATGAATTTTGCAAGATTAGTTAGAAGTCTACACAAGTAGAGGGGCTCATTCTGTAACAAAATCATAATGAATTCCGCCATTTCAGCATTTCCCACTATATTGTTGAATGTATAAAAATAAGCCACCCAGAGACCTTTGGGTAGAGTGGGCAGCATATAAATGAAATAAATAAATATATGTGGATTTCGGGGTTGCTGGCTAAGACAGATGATGGAGCCTCCAGCCTCAGAGGGAATCTATCTTGAATTAACAGTTCAAAAGAAGAAAAAACAGCAGTAGAAGGAGATGCTTCCTTTTTCTTGGCCAATGTTGGTAAAAGACAGCTAGACACACACAAAAAATTGTGCAAGGAATTTCTTATCTTTGTGCAGCATCAGCCCCTATCCAGTGCCACCGAGCGACTGACAAGGAGGGAGGGCTGAGGACCGACAGGCAATGTAAGGAAGCCGTTTTTCCCATAACACATAATTAACTCGTGGAATTCCCCTGCTACAGGATGAGGCAAGAGCACTTCGCTGAGACGGCTTTTTTTTGTTTGTTTGTTTGAAAAAAGACAATTTCGTGAGGGAAAAGATAGCTCTGTTGACATTCAAGCCTGTAGTCAGACATTTTCAGTAAGAGGGCCCCAGTCTCTGGAGAACCATTTCACAATACTATGGTGGTATAACATGGCTTTGTGTGTGTGTGTGTGTGTTTGCGTGTTGTTGTTTTTTTATCTTATTTACCTAGGCAGAGACAGGCCGAAATACTGCTTGGGTAGTATTTTTATTTCTTGAGGAATCCTCCAGTATAAGCATCAGGGGCTGGTTTTTATTAATGAATCCGTGAAATTGCATTATAACCCATAAAAAACGTGCCCTACAATAAATTTAGTTTCTTATATACTGCAGCACCCCTCTGCTGCTTTCCTGCAAAATTTATTTATTTACAATAGGTTTGTTTTTCCTTTCTCCTTGAAAAGAGCCACAATGTCCTTTGTGTGTGTTTGTTTCTTAGGGAAAACAAAAATTTAGGGAATGGGCTCAGAATAACTCTGAAATCTACCTCTCCTATCTGTGAACCTCCTTCTTTCCCATGGCGTCACCTCTGCTGACATCTATTTGCTCTATCAGCTAAATGGAACCTCCAGATTTAAGAGCAGTATACCACACAGACAAAACAACAAGGGATAAAGTTTCTGGAGGTATCTAGATGGCTGTTAGCAAACCGACCGGACATTGGGCTTCCTCCTTGGGGTTTTCTCTGTTAATTTTTCTGAACAGCGTTGGGGGCGTGCAAATGTCACAGAAGGGAACCAGAGGAGGAGAAACTCACCTTGAATGGTGCGCTTGAAGAAGGCCTTGCACGCTTCGCACGACGCCACGCCGTAGTGATACCCGGAGGCCACATCGCCACAGACCAGGCACAGACGCTTGGGCATGGAGTTCAGCATGTACTTCCCCCGTCCGGGTGGCTCGTCCGTGTCATCGTCGTGGCGCCGCCGGGAGGCCCCCGTCCCGGCCACCGGTGCCCCCACAGTCTCAAGCTCCTGGGGGACCCCGCTGGCGCTGGTATCAGATGACCCGCTCGGGCTGTGCTGGGCAAGGCTGTCTGGCGACGCCGGCTCGGTCTTGATGAAGAATTCTGCTCGGCGTTCCCGGGAGGACATGGCTGGAGGGGGCTGCAGGAAAGGCGGACAGGGTGGGTGGGGAGGAAGAGAGCAAACAAGGACCAGGGCGCCGTGAGAATCCCGAACGACGCTGGACGATTCCTTACCACGTTTGGAAAATCAGAATCCTGGATTCGCCTAATGAAAGTCGTAGAGGGAAAAGGCGGGGAGGGTCAAGTCATCCCGAAGGGGAGAAGGTTCTTCCCCAGTCCCGAAAAAAAGGTACAGCCTTCAAGATCTTGTTCAACGACAACTCCCATCAGCCCTCATGGGGGTTGTCGTTGAAAAAGATCTCAAAGGCTCTACATCTGTGGGGGGTACATATTTCTTAACCCTATGTTACGCAGTTGCATATCTGTGTTTGTGTGTTTACAAAACAAGCATCCACCACTTGGTGCTCGCTAGATGTCGTGAACTACATGTCCCATGTGTTGGGGACTGCCGTTGAGCAGGCCAGGTGGTACCAGAGACCCTTCGCTTGCCAGAAATTTAAAATGGCTGCTGAAGAAACATGTTGAAAAGGGCGTAGGGCCCATTTCTTTTCCATTCAAAAGGGCCTTGCTCCAGCACGAGGTGGCTTTCCCTCAGCAGAGGTGGGGACAGTTGCAGCGACGGACTACAACACCCACTCCCCCTCAGGCGCTGCTGCCTGGGGACAATGAGTGTTGTAGTCCCCAAGGGGAACTCCCGCCTCCTTCGAATCCCAGCCCCACCCCACCCCAAATTGCATCCATCAGCTTCTCTTTCGTTCGCCAAAACTCAGCATCAGTGCGCAATACGAATCATTTTCTGATTCCTACTGCGCATTTATTGGTGCGCCGACCCCTAGCAATGTGTAGCCCCATCTGACATTTATGTGTGTTTTTGTGTGTGTGTGGGGGTGTATTTCTACCACCACTCCTTCGTGGATGCCCTGCAGCTCCCACCGGACAGAGAGAAATGTCCAAATACTGTACATCCATTCCGGTTTCCTGTTTGACTGAGCATACCCCAGCCACGTATGGCCTGGCCCAGGCCACGGAGAGTCCCGAGATTTTGGGTTCCCATGGTCAATTAGGGGTACGTGCCCCCAAATCGACAGCCGGCCACCCCCATCCCCCCATTAAGCAGATCTGCAGCGCTCTTTCCAGAGCAGGCCTACTTCAAGCAGGCGAGAAACAGACTCTCGGGTTGATGACTTTTTTTGGCATCCTCCTGCGTAGGAGAAACGGGGGCAGTGGCTACTCGGAAGAGGGGGGCAGCCGGCCACCTGAGCCTGAAATCTCCCCCACCCCAGTTCCCTCGATCCTCTCGAACTCCCCGCTCTTCCATTCTCCCCCCAACCCCGGTGGGTAGCTGGCACGGTCCCCATCGGCATCCTGGCATCCATGTCAAGGTCACTTCAGGGAGATTCTGCCAGGCCACCGGACGTGACCTAGGGTGGCATTAAAAACAGTGCCTCCCCTCCCAGCCTGCTTCTTTGCTTGCCCACTCTCTCTGGACGGAGGGGGGGGAACATCATGAAACACCACAAGCTAAGAGTAAACAGCCAAAGAACAGGCAGAACCTCCGGCTTTGGGGAAACCTCCCTCCGCATAGGCACCATCCTGAAACCCCGCAGTTTAAGCTCTCTGCCTCCCCAACCCCATAACTAGATTTGGGGTTTTCCACCACTACATGGGAATGGGGCAGAGGTTTGATTTCCTGGCACCCTCTCCGGAACGTCACAAAATGGCTCAGGGGCGACTAGCGAGAACGGTTTTTGGGAATTATTAGGTTTTCTTAATGGGGTGTGCATACGTGGGCACCAGGGTCACAATACCAAAGACACAATGCGGCTACAAACATTTCTTACGCACCTATGCGTAACACGTGTCGGCGCCAACCCCCGGCTGAATGGAAAAGTTATCTACCCTGATTTCCTCCCCCCTATGGAAAAATAATCTATGATTTCAAGTTCTGCAGGCCACACAGGCAGAACTATTATTACGTCTCGTTGAATTGCTGACCGATGGGGTTTTGGTTCCCCCACCGAGCAGCTTCTGCAAGACGAATGGAGGGGACTTTTGGCCCCCCTTTCTGCCTCTTTCCTAGTCAGAGGGAGGGGATGTGGGCTGGAGCTATGGGGCTGGGAAGCTAAACTGCCTTGCCAAGCCCACCCACCCCTGCCTGCCATATTATCTCTTGCTTGCTAAAATGTGTTGGAAAAGTACATGCGGGGTTCATGAAACTTTCCCCCGCTTCCAGGCCGAAAAAGAACGAGGCACATGGAAAGTCATGGGAAATTGATCTAGGACAGCTGTCCAGACCCCAGAAGTGCATTTAAGGGAGACTTTTTTTTTGCACTACAACTCCCATCCGCCTCAGCCCATGGTCAAGGATGCTGGGGGTTGTGATCCAAAAGCAACCCAAACCCTTCTGCCCACCCCTGATCTGACCCGCTGCTTTTCATGATTGCGCACTCTTTCTGCCACACTTATCCAGTGCAAGGCTGTGTGCATGTGACCTTTGACCCCCCCTTACAGATCACACTGCCCAGACTGGAGGCAACTCCCTCCTTACCACACCCTGTAGCGCTCCCTAGTGGTCTAAGGAGGGCTCCCCCGGGGGGGTGAAAGAGGGGTCATTCCCATCTAAGCTGATCTGTTCACAGGTGCATTCCTGGTGCTATGCACGGGGGTGGGGGGTGGGGTTTGCAGGCCATGTGCAAATCTGATGCACCCACGGCTGGCGCAACGGCCAACTCTGCCCCGTGGCATCAAGGGGGGCACTGCCGCGTCTGGATGGTCACCATGACACCTCCAGCCACCAGGCCACAGCCGCCCGATGTGTCCACGTGCTGCCGTGCAAACACGGGGGTATCTTCCTGGCGCACACATGCGCCTCTCGTTCCTTTCCCAGAGTTGTGCTCCCCAGCCTTCCTCCCACACCAGCGGGCCTCGATGTCTCCCTAGGAACCGCACAGGTGTCCGGCCAAGCTGCGGGCCCCCCCTTTCCCAACATGTCCCGACCCTCCTCATGCGCCTTCGGTGCGCCAAAACTCCAGCCACATGCTTGCCCAAGCCACCCCTTGCCCCCCCGAACATCTTAGGGACGAGGGTCCTCTCAGAGAGCCCCCCTCTCCCATTGCCCTGCAGCATCCACCGGGCAGGGAAGCCACCGTTCACACGTGCGTTCTCTGCACTTACTACCGTTCCCCCCCCTCCCCAACCTTGTAGACTGACATGCAAACGTAAGCACATAAATGTCTCTGATCACAGATGCATATCTTGGGATCTGCCTGCATTTTCTCACCCCATAGAAAAGGGGGGGTTTCTACACCTCCTTACACCGCTCCCCCTTCCCAGAAGGAGGGTCTCTGCCCCCCCCATATTCCAGTCCCAACTGCGCCCCCTCCCTGGTCCCGATCGCCTGCTTCCCCCCCTTTTTCCCCAGCCCCCCCCCCCCGCCACACACAGAGAGAGCCAGCTGGTGCATGGGTGTATGTGGTTGTGTGAACCCCCCCCATCCATAGGGGGTTTCCCTCCAACCTCCCCCCCCCAAATCTCCCCGCCTTTCCACGATCGCACTGACCTTGGTAGCAGACAAGGGCTCCCAACTGCGGCTGCAGCAGCATGAACGGCGGCCAGCACGACACGCGTTGCTCCCTCCCCACACACACACACATACACCCGCGTCGGATCGTTCCCACGTACCCCCCTAAGCGTGGGGGGGGAGAGAGGCGGGCAACCTCCCCCCCCCAAATCTCCCCGCCTTTCCACGATCGCACTGACCTTGGTAGCAGACAAGGGCTCCCAACTGCGGCTGCAGCAGCATGAACGGCGGCCAGCACGACACGCGTTGCTCCCTCCCCACACACACACACATACACCCGCGTCGGATCGTTCCCACGTACCCCCCTAAGCGTGGGGGGGGAGAGAGGCGGGCCGGGCNGGCTGTAGGACACAAAAGGACATCGCAACCCACTTCCTACTCGGCTTCCTCCAGCTGGTGGGGGCGTGGCTTGGGGAGGGGTGATGAATATGCAGAGCAGGGGGCGGGGCTCCTCCCGAATGGACCCGCCCCCTCGAGGACGAAGAACGAGGAAGCGTTGTTGGCTAACCCTTGCTCTCCCTCTCCGACCCTGTCGCGCTCCGGTCGCGGGGCTGGAGGGTAGATCGGGGGTACGTGCTCTCTGTCTCCCCCCCCCAAAAAAGTTAAAGTTGGAAATGGCACGGAGGGAGCCGAATAGAGCCTCCATGGCTAGGCGCAGGCTATCTCTCCTCACCGTGGGCGGGGGAGAGGAGAGAAAATCCAGGTGGTTTTTTAAAAAATATCTGGTAGTCCAGATAGGCGGGATACAAATCAAATAAATAAATAAATAAAACAAACAAACAAATAAATAAATTTATTTTTAACTTATATTAAAATACAATAGCCCCCAAAGGTCTCTGGGCGGCTCACAACATTTAAAATACAATAAAAAGACAAAGCAATTAAAATGCAATTAAAATATATACAGTCTGAAAATTGCCATCAGGACCCACGGCTGATACTATTTCAATTAAATTCAAAATACATTTTCTTACTGTCATGTGCCGCGGCCTCTCCCCGTTTTGAAAGACAAAGGGACGAAAACCACAAATAAAGGAAAACAGTAAAAAATATATTTTTTTAAAAATATAGAACCGTATTAAATAAATTTGTTGCAAGGGCTAAAAACCTGTGTAAAATAAAAAAATATTGCCCAGCAGATAAGGTCAAAAACTGGCCGATTAGTTAAAAGGTGGTCTAAGCAAGATCATCTTCACCTGGGGCTGGAAGGAGGAGAGGAAAAAGTCCAGACAATAATGTCGGGAAAGGTGGAAAGGCAGCAGGAAAAGAGGAAGACCCAAATGTGAGATGGACGGACTCCTTAAAAGGAATCCACAGGATTGAGTTTGCAAGACCTGAGCAGGGCATGCAGGACACAGCTTTTTGGAGATTGCTACAAATGGGAGATGACGGTTTTTTGTTGTTTAGTCGTTAAACAGAATCACAACCCTTCCCACACCACAGGGCCCCTTGATTTTCTCAAAAGGGGGGGCTTCGGGTTAGTCTTTTCAGACATGTATCATGCACCAATTTAAAAAAATAAGTATTGCGCCACTTTTGAAACTAAAGTGGTGCCTCGCTAGACGATGATAATCTGTTCCACTTAAATAGCTGTTTAGCGAAATCATTGTGTAGCAAAAAGCAAAGCGTCGTCTAGCGAAAATTGGTTTGCGAAGCAGGGACCAAACATTGTCCAGCGAAATTCCCCCATAGGAATCACTGTACTGCAAATCGCTATAGCGATCGCAAAAACTCAATGTCTAGTGAAAAAACTGTCATGCGGGGTAACTGTCTAGCGAGGCACCACTGTAACATTTATTTCTGTGTCAGCCCCTGTTGACAAAAACCCCTTTGAGTGAATCGGAACCCTGCACAAGTCACACTGAAATAAATCCGTTAGCCTTCAAAGTACCCTAATAGTTCTGTTCTCTGATTTTTCTCTGCAATCTTTTTTGGGAAGAAGAAGAAGGAAAGGCAGGAATGGAAAGGAAATTACTAGGCCAATTTGAACTGTTGATAATAGAGAGGAGATTATTTCCAAAGGCAGCTTTAGCTAATATATAGCAAACGTCATTTTGGCATTAAAAATGAGCCTCTGCAGGGTGAATTAAATGGTGCCTGCAACAGATAATGAAGAACGTTCAGCACTGGGGAATAAATAGTGCAGTGGCAGTCAAACTTGCAGAATGTCCCTGACATAGGAAGAATTTTGTTGTTGTTTAGTCGTTAAGCGTGTCCGACTCTTCGTGACCCCATGGACCAGAGCATGCCAGGCCCTCCTATCTTCCACTGCTTCCCGGAGGTGGGTCAAATTCATGTTAGTCACTTTGGTGACCCTGTCCAGCCATCTCATCCTCGGTCGTCCCCTTCTCCTCTTGCCTTCACACTTTCCCAACATCAGGGTCTTTTCCAGGGAGCCTTCTCTTCTCATGAGATGGCCTAAGTATTGGAACCTCAGCGTCAGGATCTGTCCTTCCAGTGAGCACTCAGGGTTGATGTCCTTCAAAATGGATAGGTTTGTTCTCCTTGCAGTCCAGGGGACTCTCAAGAGCCTCCTCCAGCACCACCATTCAAAAGCATCAATTTTAATCTGTGAGACGACAAGTGTGTTCCACCTCGGCGCTTGTCAGCAGTCCGAATTTCCACCTTTACTGCTTAATTCTGATTTATTCCTATTTATTTATGGAATCCTTTCCTGTGTGGGGTTTCAAAACGGGCTGTTGTGTAACTTACTTGCTTTGAATGTGTTTTTTTGGTGTGGCCTTTGTTTACCGTCTTCTAGCGTGGCATTGTTCTGATCCCCTTTTTTAGTATTTGTATACTGAATTGCTTTTCGCTTTAAATGTTGTCTTTCGAATGATATAACCCACCTTTTTAAGGAGAAAGGCTAGGGAAAAAACAAACAAACAATTGAGCAAGTAGATAAGTAGGTAAGTAAGTAAAATAAATAAATATAACATAAATAAACAAACCAAGCCTAGAACTCAGGAGAGCAAGGTGCATGCAATTCCCCACCCAGCTGCAAAACCTTCATGGGAGACCCTGAGTCAGATCTTCCAGCCTACCTCGTGGGGTCGTTGTGAAGAGAAAGTAGGGAATTGAGGCCAGCCTGGGCTCCCTTGGAGGACAAGGCAGTTCAGAAGCAAGAAACAAAGAAAAGGTCAAGAGCGAAGAGCGGAAAGTGGAGGATCGGGGCTTTGTGGCCAACAGCTTTGGTGCTGAGGAATGCGTTCGGGGCTGGATCGCTCCGGCTGGCGCTAGTTTTGTCATCTTGAAGGGAGTGGAAACCCTGAGGGGGGAAACCTGACCCTCGCATGGCGTGTCTTGACTGGAGGCCCTTTCACCTCTCCCTCCCCTCTTCTCCCCATTGTTGCCCCCTCCTTTCCTGCCCTCCACACCCACAGGGCCTTAGCCTGCCCGCCTCGGCGCACACCCTGGACACCAAAAGGGCACAAAAGGGGGAAAGGCGTTGCGGTTCTCCCGTCACGGGGCCAGAGAACGTGCCCTGCCTACTTCACATGTTTTAACACTCTCCTTTTGAGTCACACTACAAGGGAAACAAAATCCTCCCGTCAGGGCGTGCACGTGTGTCCATGTTTCTCATCATCCGCCATGCAATTTGCCCTTAACAGAATGATGCGCCGTCAAGTCCATTCTGACTGATGCCAACCCTTCCCAGGGTTTTGTAGGTAGAGCATATTCAGAAGTGGTTTCCCATTCCCTCCTTGCCATGCAATTTGCCCTTAGAGAATATTCAAAAGTAGTTTCCCTTTCCCTCCTTCTGGGGGCGCTTTGGGACAGTGTAGCTTGATCCCAGACTATACAGACTGGCTCACTTGCAGGAGGCACCGAAGAGGGGCGATTTGGGGACAGTGTAGCTTGATCCCAGACTATACAGACTGGCTCACTTGCAGGAGGCACCGAAGGGGATCGAACTCCTAACATCTGGCTCTAGAAGCAGATACCGAACTCACTGAGTTATCCAGCCAGACACACAATTTATCCTACCTGCCTGGAAACTGGGTGAAGTCTGCCCTTCCTTCTTTCATCTCTTTTATCTCCAGTTGCCCGAGATTAATAAAAGGGATTTTCCAGTGAGGGTGTAAGCATTTGGAATTCTGAAATTAACAACACAACTTTAAAAAAAATGAAGGGAATGCCCAAAGAAGCACCAGACCAGAAAATATGAACATCAGGGCAGCGTGCCTTGACATTCTGCAGCATTATTAGCAGACTGTGTTGTCGCCACGGGGCTAGGATGCCAAAAAGCACTCTCTGATTCCCCCTAGTGACCAATTCTGATACTGCACTGTGGAAACAGGTATACAAATACAGAAGCTAAAATGTAAGAATTATATCCCTTGCCACTTAGGATTGGTAAGAAGATGGCACAAAGTCTGAGAAATTCCTGTCCAGATGCTTCCTCAGATATCCTTTAAAAATTACTTTTGAAAGTAACTTAGATGTAATATAGCTGCTACACCAGGAAATAACTGTGTAACTACCGGCTATGTTGATTATTACCCAATAAGTAACTGATTAGAGATGAACATATTCTTGTAACTAGTTATTTCCATTTTCTATTGAAACTCCTTATACCAAATAACTGAACTTACACCAGAAAGTAACGTTGTAATTAGTAACTATGTTACTTGGTAAAAGGTAAAGGTAAAGGTTCCCCTTGACAATTTTTGTCCAGTCGTGTTCGACTCTAGGAGTCGGTGCTCATCCCCGTTTCCAAGCCATAGAGCCAGCGTTTTGTCCGAAGACAATCTTCCGTGGTCACATGGCCAGTGCGACTTAGACACGGAACGCTGTTACCTTCCCACCGAGGTGGTCCCTATTTATCTACTCGCATTTGCATGCTTTCGAACCGCTAGGTTGGCGGGAGCTGGGACAAGCGACGGGCGCTCACTCCGTCATGTGGATTCGATCTTACGACTGCTTGGTCTTCTGACCCTGCAGCACAGGCTTCTGCGGTTTAGCTCGCAGCGCCACCACATCCCATGTAACTATGTTACTTATTACCCAATAAATAACTGATTACAGATAAGCAAGTTACTTGTAGCTAGTTGTTTCCGAGTTCCATTGCAGATCTCTGGGTGATTTGCAGTACATTGACAAGAGTAAGATTGCTCCCCAAAATTTAACAGTCGCAATGCATTTCTAGGTTAGGCAATAGATCATTAGATGACTAGAAAGTTACAAGTAAAGCAAGCTTTTAAACTTTACGGAACTCTTCATCAGGTGGGTATAAAACTGGAGCTTCAAGCAGAAATTCCAGAAACTGTGCCAGATTTCTCAAAAATCAGACTGCCAAGAAGATGATGTGAAGCAATAAAATGGAT